ACTCATCCCTGTTTCCCTTTCCCCTTTTTTGGTATTGAGCAGACTTTAATAGTTTCAACCTTTTTTTACTTGACACTCTACCGATTCTACACGACTTTTCTTTTTCCAGCTTCCTGTTCCCATCGCCTTGTCCACTTATGAAGAACACCTTTTTTCAGAGAGTCTCCTCTCCTTATACTCCACCCCTTATTCCTTTTCTACTTTCTGTTCCACGCTTAAGAGAAGAGGTAGGATTTGAAAGATAGGAAATTCCAAGAGCTAAGGAAAAATCGTAGTAGATTATCATCCACTACATATAATTCGTTTCGTCTGTTTGTTTGTTTGTTTGTTTGTCTGTCCGGAAATTCGGTTCGACCTGAAGAACGACTTGGAGAGGCCGGGTCAAGGTTGGGAAGAGTTTGGCATGGGACGAGGTGTAAAGAGCACACCTGACCTACACTAAACCCCACAAATAGTGGGCGGGGCATGCGTCGAAAGCTGGCGTAGGCGCCTACAAAAATTCATAACTCGCTTCCCGAGCAGCCTAGAGATGGGGAAAAGTCAAATAAGGTTAGCAAAGGGCAGGCGAACTGGGAGACACATACTCGGAATGGCTGGGGCATACACAGGCCGGGCGGTGCTCCCCATGGAATTCAATAACTTGGTTCTCGAGATAGTTCAGCGATCGTAAAAATCGATGGGGAAGAGAAACATCTGGCGAAAGTTGGGCATGCCTGTGATGTGTTGAAACCCGCCCATCCTGGGCGGAGCTTGCCTTCATGCATAAGATTCTCATTTCAAAAAGTTTTGTTCGATTCCAGGGCACTCCAGAGACAGGGAAAAGGCGATTTGGTGTAGGCAAGAGGGCACCCAGTTGAGAATTACAGGTTGCAACCGTTGTGGACTGGGTCTGCGCCTAGGTGGGTGGAACCCAACAAGGAAATCTGTGGAACGGTCCCACTTCACTCCAAACACAAGGAAAAAAGAGGGTTAAGGTCAGTGAGGGGGTCACCAGTTGAGAAAAGTGGGACACACAGGTTTGGGCGAGGTCTGTGCCGAGGTGGGTGGAGCCACCAGCCGTGATCTGTGAAACAGTTCCAGATCACTCCCAGTCGAAAAGGTGGACTACAGTCTGCAATGGGTCGCAGGTTAAGTGAGAGACACACCCGCTGTGGGCGCAGCGTGCGGCGAGGTTTACGAACCAAATTTCGAAGTCCGTAAAACGGTTACAGAACACTCCAGAAGATCCCAAATATCGGTTGCGGAGCGCCATAGGCACCAGAGACAAGTGGATTGAGGTTCATAAGGGGTCAGCGGACGAAATGGGGAGACATCTGCAGAAAGAATGGGCCGTATTTAGATGGGAGGTGCTTGTAAGGTTATAGGGTAGAAGATTTATTAGTTCAATTTCCAGAAAGCATCTATACATCATCAGCGCATGGAGGAACAAGTAAGCTAGGCAGAGTAACATAACCATACGTACTGTTTAAGTCTTCATTATAGATCTCTAGAAAATCTAAGTCAAAGGTACGAACACCTCGGGGTAGACGGACCATCACATCATCGCCAGAATGTTCGTCCAGTGGATCATCACTGAAACTTAGTGTTTTTTTTACAATGGAGAAAAACGAGTTCACCAACTAACAGCTCATATCCGATCGCTCGTGCCTTTGTTCGCTGAATAATGTCTGTGACGTTACCAACACCGACGAAAAAGAACGTATCTGAAAGATATCGGTTTTACCTCATTGTCTCTGGGAAAACAACTATGACGCAGCGTTTAGACTTTGCGATGACGCGCTACGACACGCTACCATTGTAGTGCTCAATTGACAGACAGGAACGCAGTCAGAGTGCTAATGATCGGCGCTTAGTGTTTTGAGGAAGGTGGAGGAAGAGGAGAGCTGCCTACTCATGCAGCCTGGCACCCTTCTATTCTTTCACACTGTCTCAAGCAGTCAGTCAGCGCTGATCGATACCCATCTATAGCATTCGAGCGCTGCATCAACAGTGGCGCGACGACGCGCGTTATGCGAAGTCTGAACGCTACGCAACTCGAAACTGCGACACACACTCAGGAAAGCGGCTCCGTAACTCGCGGTTCGTCTCGAATCCAAAAGAAGTAAAAAATGGAGCACATAGGGGAATGTTCTTAGCTGCTTTGATCCCTTCGTTCTACGGGAACATCTCACGATAAACGAATAAGGTGGTAAAGGGCAGGCTCACTATCACTGTGCTGTTTCCACTGAGGCGTCACTTTCACCGTACTATGGGAGGAAATCGCGTGGCGCTACGAGCAGGACAGGGACAGGGAGTGTGTCACGGCATGCTAGTTGATAGCGTACGATCTCCCTTCGCCCTATGCCTCAGCTCCCTCGCGCGGCAAGCCCTGAACTACGGATAAAGCGACCTTATCTTTCCTACCTTCCGCTGTACTATTGGATAACGTCCGTCCACTGAACTAATGCGTCCCAAAAGATGACTCGTAAGAATTGTAAGGCAAAACATCTTATACGTGAACAGAGTTTATGAGTCTTAGCCGTATAACATGAACTACTTGTCAGTGAGGACGTTAAGACGGCCTACAGTTCCACCCTGGTATCTGCGATACTTGAGAATAGAAAACACTTACAGAGATCGAGAAGATGGATTGCCACCAGTTGTTCTAAGGGCCCACGCCCTAGCAATAGTCGCCGCCGATAGTGGGTCGAACAAGGGGGAATCGATATCGCTGTTTTTCGGGAAAATAACAGATAAGTCGCAGCATCGGTACTGGCAAGACATGCCGCTGGATTACAGGTACGTGTTAGCTGGGAGTCGACGCAAAAAAGGAGTAGTTGACTTGGGAGAAAGGTTAGTAGTCGACCGCACTGTGGAGTAGGATGAAGGAGAAGAGGCTGTTGTGATCGATGCCACCGGGGTGGCAGCGGTTTCCCGCGCGATCATGTCGGAAGGAGAGCAAAAAGCGTAGGTCACGGCGACGAGCTACGGTAGGCGCACCCGGGAGGAACCCTCTTGAGCGATCCTCGAGATTCGCTGCAATGAGCGAAGTGTCACACTTATTGTGGATGAGTGTGACCCCGCCCGTTTCTCGGTCCGTTCGTTTACCGTGGAATATAGCTTCAATTGCATATAGAAAGACGTCTAAGCTGACACAAAAGCAGTAACTAAAAATACGTAGGTGATCAGGCACGCAAAGAAAAAAAGGTGAGCATGGCCAACAAATAGGTGCTTTCTGTTTCTTATTACTCCTGCAAATTTTCTGTGTCGACTCAGTATTTCTTAACCTACACGGGATCAATGATGAGCTTGCACGGCTCGCAATCCTTCCTGCTAACATTACGGACTGTCCATGCTAGTACTTCCACTCGAGTCCTTCAAAACAGTACTCTGTATCGACGTACTTGGATGTTTTTGATCGGCTTCGTAGTATAGATTTGGGATCAGGATTGTGTTGCAGTTCAGTATCCGTACTTCTCCACTGGAAACATTCCGTTCCAAGGCGATCAGCGGACCTATTTCCTCCTCTCTCGGAGGATCCACGTCCAACAGCCACACTAGTGGAATCGATTTCTGAATCAGCTTGAGATTATTCCACAACAGAATTCATTCAAAATATCAAAATGGGCAGGAGGTCGCACAGCCTCTCTATTGAAGCGGGAGTGGGTTGAGCTAAAATTACCATCGAAATCCATGAGATACGGTAGGTGTGGCTGCGTGCTTTAATTGATGGGGCATCGGCCAATGTGTTCGTGAGATATTTTCCTTCCAGGGCTGTTGTAATCATGTCTCTGTTCAATACAGAACAAGATCACGTCTCAAATTGAAATACCCCACCTGGTAATCTCCATCCTATGCCATGTTCAAATGCCACGCTACTCAGCAGGGCAAAGGAGTGTAAGTTTAAGTCAAAGTTGCTCAAAGGCAATAACGCTTAACTACGAATACCCGAAACACTCAGCGTTTTGTAGATTTGTCATGGGACACTTTATGTACTGGAGTTCGATCCAGCTGGCGGCTATGACACGATCAGGGCACGTCTTCGGATTTTCAAAAAATGCGACCCTGCAACCTCCCACTTTCGCTCCTCTGCTTTGAGTCCCCCCGCTTCACACCAATACTTGCTATCTTACTATCTCTTCCCGACTTGCCTAATACGTATTCTCCGAAATTTTCCATTCAGAAACATTTTGCGTGAGCCGACGATGCAAAAAGGGGCAGGGTGTAATTATTTTTGGTTCAAAAACAATTACGACTACCTTACCCGCTCCTATTGTAATTCCACCCCAACCACAGGATTACCACCCGTCAAGAAGAAAAAATCATTTCAATGTTCATCTCAGACCAAATACGACCCCCTCTTCAGCTGACAAATAGAACTCACCGCTGGGGAACCCCGAGTTAGGACCCCCCAGCCCACGGGCACATTCGTATTGGGAATCCCAATAGCGTGCGATTGTATTTGTCGCCAGAGCAGAGGCGGTTCGTTATTTTTTCGCTGAGTAAAAAAATTTATTTTGATAGTGATTTTTTTCGTCCATGGACGTTGCAGGGGGGGGGTGTATTTTGATTTATTTTTGGAGGCGAGGCGTCGCATTTAGTTTTAGCGTTGTTGGGAGTGCGGTTGACGTTTTGATGATTTTCTGTTTGACGTATCTATATCGCTTCCTCCGCCGACGAGCTCGATTCGATGAAGGAAGGACCAGAGGCTGGGGGGGGGTCGTATAGAGTCAACTAAAATCCCAACCAACGCTGTGCCCTGGACTGCCCTGGACTCAACCTTAGACAGCGAGATATTTTAGCCTAGTCCTAATACAGAGAAGTTAATGGACTATTACCTTGTTACACTGATCATATAGTCCAATCCATTTGTAATCAGACAGACGAGCACCATTTGTGAGAAGAAAAGCGACCTGTTCATCTGTAGCTGGCGGTAAAGAGAATGACGGGTCCCAATGACCTAAATCAAGGATTAGGCTTACTCATTATATAGCACCACTATGGCTAGGGGATAGCATCGGAGGTAACTGGAATACCTGTTTGACGTGTTGCTTCACTGTTATCCTTGTCGTTGTCTTCCTGAAGTTTGCGGTGTAGAGTTCGACCTTCCTGGGAACATATAATTAGATAAAGGTGAACGAGTGAAAAGAGTTAAGCGCTACAATGACTATTTACAGGAATCTGTCGATAGCCAACGCTTCGGATTAACCATTGAAAACAGGAGACGGGCAAGAGAATCGTTAATTGCCGCTTCGTCGCGCGCGGCATTAGGCGCGACGTTTCCTTAATCTGCACTACCCTTCGATTGGAGCATCGGATTTCACGTAGGCAAGAACCTGGTGGGCACTTATGTCTATTTTCGATCATACATTGTCTATTCTCGACCAATACCACCTAAAATCGTCGTCATTAGCGGGCGCGACGTCGCACGCGACGCCCACTGACGCGGCGATTTACGATTCTCTTGCCACATACCCATTGAAAGCGCTCACCTGAAGTTGCGACCGATGTTTCTCAGCCTTACTGAAATTATAAAAGTCCATAAAAGATAAGTAACATTTTCTGATCTACTCATCCAATTAACCTCACTCGAAAACAATCATAGACGGCTCAGGTTGTATGGTAGAAGATGGATATTCTTGACTCGCATCCACTTCAGCCGTTATCAGCGTAGGAAAGGTGTTGGCAGTCATTGTTGTGGTCACATCAGGAAGGCTCACAGTCGCTTTTCGATGAGTTTCCCCATCCTGAACAACATCAACCACACAAATCAATAAAGTCCAGGAACAAAAACGATAGAGGTTTCGTCCTTACTCTGATGGGTAGAATGAGTGATTTCACAGATCCACTTTGTTCCATAGTTTGCTTCCCGTCTTTAAAATCTTCAGAAGAATCATCTATGATGGTCGGCTTGATCATTTCCATCCTGAACGAATACCCTTGCATAGTCTGGCTCGCTGTGCACGAAGGGGCGTGTCACGGGGGAACATTTTGGCGCGGTGCCATACCCGTTCTCCATACGTTGTTGGAGCGAGTAAGTGACAAGACTGTATCATAATGTTGGGATTGCTCGTTTTCCACCAATATATGTCGCATAGCCGGTTCAAACCGACTAAGTTCAGAAAAAGGCACAAAATATGGCCCTCGTTTTTGAGCAGTGCGAGCATGCAACAACGAAACACTGGGCGCGCGAACGAGAGACCAGAGGACGAAGTTCCAGGGTGGTGTAAGAATTGCCTGGAGATAGTCAACAGCTGAGTATTCCCATTGGTCGACTGTATCTGCGAGAACGTGAAGGAGCGAGCACAATGGTTGATTGTCTCCTCCCAAGCGATGAACTTGGACTGTGTTCAACTTACTCTGACGTGGTCGTATACGTGTTTTCAGGAGATGGTGTACTTCTCGCATTTGGCCCATACTTCAGAAGACGGTTCGATATCGCTTCAAAATGAGTGTTGAATAAAATAATAAATAAAAATGTGTAAATCAAAACAAACATACATAACAAAAAATGAATAAAAACATACATATGTATAGTACAGATATACATGCAAACATTATTTATAAAAACAAGCATTTTTGCACTCCTCCACCAAAGCTACGGTACGAATACTGTGATAAAAAAAAATTCTAAAAGCTGTCGTGACTTTTGGCTGAAACTTACTCCTGGAGCGTTTCTTTTTCTTAATCAAGTTTGATCTGAAAATTCAAATGACTTAGTATTACTGTGAGTAAATAAAGACGTTGACACCAACCCCCTTTTTGCTCTTCGTCTGTACATCCGTGCTTCTTCCCAAGAGAAGTTCGGCTGTGTGTACGGTAGCAGGATACCGTCACCTACCTGAATTATGGAGAAGTACATGTGCATATGAAGTATAGATGATGACAGGACATGCATGGTTGACCTCGCTGCTATCGGTAGAGCCGATGTCAGGGGGCGTGGAATGAGCCCAGCCACGGCTGCGCTTTCAACTGTAGTGGTGGGTCACGGCGGAAAACAAGTAGTGGTAGAAAACGCCGCGGGTGGGCTTATTCCACGCCTCCCACCACTGCAACGCCGAACTGCAGCGATACCAACTTTATGTTCATTGAGATTACAAATTTTGGTATAGGGAAGAGTAATATCATGTGGATGAAGAACGACGACAGGAAAGCTGTGAAGGAGAAGGCTGTAGAGTGGCTGTAAAATGTGAACGAAGAAGCAAAGGTGTAAGCGTTCGAAAGCATAGAATTTTCCACAAAAGAGAGCATAATGAATGATACATAGTATTGTCCCATGCCTTTACTTAGTTCCAACTTCTATTGTTTCTGTTTGTATAATTTGAAAAAAAATGAAGAAGATAAGCAGAAAATTTATTACCTTTCGTATGAGATCTTCTCGCCTGGCTGGTCCTATCGTCAGAGCAGTGCCTGCAGAAATCAGAAATAATTTTCGGAGATTGGAACATGTCTCGAGGCACCATTTAGTCAATCGTTGGGCCTTTTCTAACATACAAAACTGTGACTGTTGCCGGTTATAACCAAAAAATTAGTCAAAGAGTCAGCATGATAGGGGCAGAATTCTTGCGAAAAACGAAAAGCAAAACAAGACGATTATATGGTTTCCAGCGAGCAAGTGCAGAAACGTAACCCCTTTTCTTGAATCCTCTTAGTCTTAATATTTTGCTTTAGCGTCCACCAGCGACCATCAGCGTCCACGAGCAATCCGAGAATCCGGCAACATCAGCGACTAGGACAGTATAGATGGTAAACCTGGCGTCTGCCAGGTTTACCAGCGGCCAGCAACAAATAATGGGTAGAGAGTATGGGGCGATAGGACCATCGCGCCATACTCTCTACCTGCTGCCTGCTACCTTCCTACCTCCCCATACTCTACCAGCTGCCTGCTAGCCTTCTATCGCCCCATACTCTCCAATCCCGGACGCTGCTGCTCGCTGTTGGACGCGGCAGACGCTGGCAGACGCCAGATCGATGTCTATACTTTCCTAATCGCTGGCACTGCCGGACGCTCGGAACGCTGATGGACGCTACTGGTCGCTTTTGGACGCTGCCGCAAAGCATGAACCCAGCCTTAGATCACGATACAACACAATAAGCATTTCACCGATATTAGAGTCGTACAATTTTGATGAAAAAATTATTTGAACTCACATCCGGATCGTTGCGGTTTGTGGGTGAATTTGTCGAGAACGATTGTATGATCGTCAGCAAGTAGCACTTCTGCACGAATACCGAGATTCGCGTACTTCATCGTTCCCACTGGCACGCCGAAATACGTTTCCGCGTTGACAACTAAAACAAATGACTCTCCCTTGGAATACTAGAAAAGTAACCTGTGAGATGCAATATTTTTGGCTTCCAGTAACTGAAAGGTAAAATCAAACATCGTAAAATTTCGTGAACACTAGGAGAAACTCAATGTATTATACTTACGCATCAACTTTTAGAACAATTAGTTTTTTTTACTCACGCTGTAAAGAGTACGGTAGCAAGTAGAGAATGATGATGTAGAGAATGCTCATTTGCCAAAGGAATGTGGATGTTGAAAGATAGAAAGAGCCGAACACCTTTCTAAACAGTAATACGTGCGATTGTATGCGATTACCATAACTTGAGGTCACTGGGTTATGTGATCAGCCACTTTCACTCTTCGCAATCGCGAAGCGAAAACATTCACTTATCGGATTACATGTAGACCTGACTCTGTAGTCGACTATGATTAGCATCAAAGGAGTAAGTTGAAATGCTATTTAATTGGAAGTATACTCGAAATCCCTGAGATCGGGTAGGCGTGGCTGCGTACTTGATTTTAGGCGGCGGCCCAGGTTTTCGTGAGATATTGTCATTTCGGAGCAGTCGTAATCATGTCTACATCTAACACAGAACAAGATAGCAGTTGTTTCAAATTGAAGTATCCCACGAGAAACCCGTCCTATGCCATGCAAAAGCCACGCCTACTCCGTCTCAGGGATAAGGAGTGTAATCTTGGTCCGATGATCTACTTACACAGCCCGGGCAAAGCTTAACTCAACCGTTTATGGAGTTTATGTAGTTTATTGTGAAGTCCTGCTAACGAATTCACCTCGTCCTGGGAAGATAGAACCAGGGTAGGATGGCGTGCGTGCGAAAAACGTGTGGTGGTTGTATTCACTCACTTAAGCGAAAAAAGCTTGCCAGTACATTTCAAAGCATTGATTCTAATGGTTGATTTTTCGAAGCTGTGCGGAAGGATGGAAAGTTCGGCCGGTGCTACGGGTGCCCAAATCTAAGCGTTCGCCGTGTACCAATGTGTGCAGTTCACAAGTATGCCTTCATAAAAGTCTCTTGACAAAAGAAATTGAAGTGATAGGCACGGTTATTTGGTACTGAGCCTCCAAATGGGAGCGAGGGGCTACATACTATAGTATTGAAAAAACTGGGAAAAAGCGGAGTTGAAGACGCGCCAGAACCGCCAAAAAAGCGCTTTGTTCTGCATGACTGCAAATAAGGCAATTCGGAGAGCTTTTTCGTTTGGCAGCTTTTTCGTTGCGCCAATAATCGCTTACGCTGCGGAAACGGATGCATATTATATGTAAAACTGGGTAGGCCCAATGTAGTTGGCGGTTTTTTTTTTCTCACTCGGAATATTTTCGCCTAACAAACCAAGCTTACCATTGAGTTTGTATTTCCATTCACAGATAGGTTCTTTGCCCCTATACGGGGCGTCCTCCTTACGTTTTTGCCGCATTCATCTCTTCACAAGAAATGTAAACTGTTCCTCGTCAAACTAGAGCGTCAGGTCACCAAAATTCGGCATTTTGGACAGCTTTTTTTTGTAACTCTGAATAAAAAGCCAGAACCGCACACACCCAGTTGCTAAGTGTGGTCCAAGGGACTATGCTCCCTTACGACCTATGCTTAGGAATGCTTACAATGGTTTAGGTTATTCGTAGATTCCAGTTAGACCTCACAGACAAGCATCGAACCTAATGCCCTATTGAGTCCATCTGAGAGCTTACTGAAGTGCCTTATTCATGGAACATGAAGATTACCAAAGATTGAGGAATTGTTAGAGGCCATGAAATGCTTCCTTGTCATCACCAGGCACCACCTTCAGTTGTTGCTAGACGTTCGTAAATAAGTGGGTAGATTCTGCAGACAGTCCTCAAAACGACCTCAACGCAATGCACATTTACAAGGTCCCAATTCCCATCTCTTGATCGCATGGAGCAACTTCAAGCAATAGTAGGAAGGTCTTTCCTTGGTCATGTGGATCACAAGTTTTAGGCTTCTTCGGTAATTTGAGAGCTGAGATAAGTGCAAAAAGTTGTCGAAACTTTGTGCTGACCCGACACTCCATTTCAGTGAAAGAAAAATCGACAGAAATCGGGAACATTAGGAAGGCAATCATACTATCTTATAGAGCAGAAAATTATCTATCAAACAGTGTAGAACACATTGGGAAAATTATCATTTTCCATATAAAAATTTGCGTGAGGAAAAAACGCCATTACTTATGGGCCAACCCAATGCTTATTATCCATGCAGCACCGCAGCCGCTTCATATCTAATTCCTTCGCTTCATAATGTACTTGCAAATGAAGCGATACGAGCATCAGCATCGTAGGACATTTGTGGGCGGGGCGCGGTGGACGTCCGGGTCGGTATGTTGTGGCTTGGTAGAGTGCTATGAGGTTACTTTCCTTGGAAGACAGGGCACATCGTTGTTGGGGAATCCCCAATAGGGGGGGGTCGTATTTGGGCTGAGAAAAATTTATTTTGATAGTTGATTTTTCTCGCTTCATGGACGTTGTAAAGGGAGGGGGGTCGTATTTGATCATTTTTGGGAGGGGGGGTCGTATTTACGTTTTGGCGTTGTGGGAGTGGCGGTGACTTTTGGTGATTTTCCTGTTTCACGTACTATATGCCCCCCCCCGCTCGACGGCTCGATTCGATGAGGAAGGACAGAGGGCTGGGGGGGGTCGTACCAACTCCCAAAAAAAGGGGGGGGGTCGTATAGAGTCGACTAAAATCCCCAGCCAATGATGGGCTCTGTTGGAAGAGGCACCACTCAGCATCTGCTCAGGGATGTTGAATACTGTCCTGCTAGGTGTGGTGTAAGTAACACGTCTTCAGGATTTGTCGTGCCACATGCCTTTAATGGATAGGCTTGAAGCGAGATGCGATGGCTGTCCTGCGTTATCGACCAAATGGTTACGTAATCAGGGAGAATTCAATTTCCTTCAAATGGTCCCTATCATTTCTAATGATAATTATTGGAATTCGACGTAAGTTTGACTGCGATGTGACCGTGATTTGTATAACCGAACGGATATTAAAGCTCGAGACTGAATATCCGTTTAGAGGTAATTGCTGAGCAACCCTTTCACCTCGCATTGTATGCACAACTATGACGCTGATTCCTACTCTTCTGCTGGTTGTCATCATCTTCCCCGTAGCCAATACCGAGCAGAATGATGGTAGGTTCATTTGAATTGAAATTGTTTATGTTAATCTACAACCAAAAATCACTCGAGTAAAACATTTTGTTGAATACTTTGAAAGTTTTCGTGTTTGAAATGGGAGCTGCTAAGAGCAGCTGGGGCATATAGGAGGTGACTGCGCATACATTTGGTCAAATCGCCGTTAGTACCGCGATGCCGAACGAGCTCTCGACGGACGGATCTCATTGTCACAAAGGAAGTCTGAGGGGAATTCTACCCCAGCTCTACAGAGCACGTCCTACGTTGGCATTCCCCAGCTCAATAACGGATCGCATTCGGTCGGTAGAGTGAGGTAGGTGTTTTCGCGGTAAGATATTTTTTTCTCAGTCGGGAATTTCCCTCTTTGGACAGCGAGAACTTCGATCCTCTAGTCGGTGGGAGCCACCAATTTCATTGTTTCTGGAAGCTGATCAGAGAGGAATTTCTCTGTCCCAGGGACCTGTGGGTGGGGTCGTATTTTGGTGAAATTTTCCCTAACATCAGGACGTGCTCAATAGAGAGTGATAATGCTGTCCTACTACGTTCGGTAGTTGATGGGATATCTGTTCCTCTTTCCCCGACTCAATGGATGTATTGGAATTCTTCGTTGGGATTATAACCCCATATTGGAGTGAGGTAGTATTCTATTGGAACGTATTGATACGAACATCGAAGATATGGTTGACAATTATTGGCGCTGAGCGACAGAGTCAGCGACAGAGCTCATTCGAGCAAGACCTGTAAATTTCGAGTTAAATGTCAAAGTGCACTTGAGCTCACTTTAAAACTCACTGGCTCTCCGCCTACCTTTCGATGGCCCAAATTTGTTCCTAGTACGAATGACGCCTTCGGTCATGGCACTGAAGTATACATGATCAGACGTAATGGAGTGGGAGGGAGGAGGGCAGGGAAGCGATTTCAGCAAGTTTCGAGCTGTTGTCTAGTAAACAAGGATCCGCCAGCCTGAACAAATAGTTCTGTGCGAATCTCATAGGCTTCTGAGCTGCCGCGACTACAGTATCCTCCGGCGATAGGCTGATAACGCATGCAAGTGGCACCTTCAGGTATCAAGTCCCAAGAACTGGGCACATCGGTCACTTTTTATCGTATTGATTTCCACTAGCCAAAAGTTTAGTAGTTTCATCGTCTTGAAATCCAACGTGTAACCGTGCGTGGGTAGACACTGGGCAAAAGTTTCAAAAGAAAACTAGTGGGTTCTTTGGCAAAGTTTCGGAACCATATGTGATTTGGGAGTTTAGGATATAAAATCGCATATTTGACTTACATCGAGATTCGTAAGAAAGCCATGAATATATGGACTGTAGGAGTACTGTAGGAAATATGGTACAGAAGCAGGGGCATGCTGTTCTACAGGAATCCCCAGCGACGGGTCGCCTTTGGATTTCTCTGCTCGAAAAAGTTTTGATAAGGAATTTAGGAAGTAAGGGAGGAAGGTAGGTGCAGCTGAACTTTCGTCCTGATTTGAGGTAGATTAGAGGCGTGAGTTCAGGGGGAGGGGATTGTGCTGAGCAAAAATTCCTTCATCGCTGTGTTTTGGCCTGGCATGTTGAGCTAACCCTACCCCCTTCTGCCCAGTGCCGATGAGAAGCGTTCATGCAGTTGAATTCTAGGGCTGGTGATCAATTCGGTGTACAGGGGAGGGGGCAAAAACGACAATTTTCTTCCTCAACTTTCAACAATATGAGGTACAGTTTACTGAATTCTGATTACATTTTCACCATCGATTTCAACAGCGCATTTCATACGATCACGCACTCCGCCACAGCTTTTTGGACGAGGCCATCGAGAGATTCTGCCACGCGACCGTGATTCGGTGCCTGAGTTCAGCGAGGTCGTTGATTTCTCCGCCACTGTAGACCACCTTGTTGAGCTCCTCTCGGACTCGGTAGCCGAGGGGTAAGACAGGTGACACACTCGGATATTCACCCTTCAACTCCAAGCAGGCGAGAGTTTC